ATTTCCCGCTCTGCCATTGATTCTAACTTCTCCTTCTTCCCCTCCTCCCGTCTTGCGCCTTTGTGCCCCTCGCCCGCCTCTCTCTCCCCGCACTTCTTCTTTCTAGGACAACCCGGCGCTCAACCCCACGGTGGCGGTGAAGCACATGCTGCCGCGCCTTGCGAACCCGGCCGAAGGCGCCAGCGCCGGCTACGGCCCCAATGCCGTCCAGGTGGCCAAGCCCGTGCATCTTTCCAACCTGGCCCTCATGCTGCCCAAGGACATGGTGCTGCCCGAAGGCGCGCCCATCACAAAGGAGGAGATCAAGAAAGGGTGCGTTTGTGTGTTTCGCCTTTCCCACACTTGCCTTTCTCCACCCTCCCCTCCCCCTCCCCCGCGCCTCTTCTTGCTCTGACCACGAACGCGCTGTGTGTGCTACAGAGTGGTGGCCAATCGTCTCTCGCGCTCCGGAGTCAAGTTCAATCGCAAAGGCCACTTCTACAGCTGGACGCGCTACGCTCTCGTCCGCGCCGCCGACGGCTCCAGCTATCGCCTTGCCGTGCCCTGGCCTGCGGCCGACTATCCCACTCGGCGTGCGTAAGCCATCCACACACACGTCGTGGCCAGATGGGCCTTGGGCGCTGGGGCAGATGGGCTGACCCTTGCAACCTCACACACACACACACACAACAGGCAAGACGGCCATGATGGCCGACTCCACCGTCGTCTCCTCCGAGTCCTGGCTGCCCTGGTCACCTAGGGATCCCATCCATCTCACTCCCTCTCGCACGCGCACCTCTCCCCATTCCGAGCTGCGCGCCTCTGCCCTCGTTGCTTCTCTGCCTCCTCGCCAGCCTACGCCGCCGCGGCGCGACGGCTACGCGCCCTTCCTGGCCATGAAGCAGCCGCTGCCTCCGACGGCGCAGGCGCCCACGCCAGCGGAGCACCTCTGGATGGCCAACGAGGCGCGTGCCAGTTGGGTGTCGGCGCCTGAAGTCGCACAACACATCACGAACGGCGGCCGCACGTTTGCCACCGACGACTACCTCGCCCTCTGTCCCGCCGACGGGCCCGTCTCGGCCGCCTGGCGCGCGCTGCCGGAGCGCACTCCCGCGGCGGCGGGCGCGCGAGACGAGAATGGCCGGCGCCTCGGCGCACGCGCGGGCGCCGACGAGGTGGATGCGTGGCCGCTGGAACTGCTCATGCAGCGCGAGTTGGCGCCCGAAAAGACGAGGGCGAAACGCGGACGCATGTGGCAGGTGACGCAGACGCTTAAGAGGGCAGAGAGGGAGATGGAACAAAGAGAGGAGAAGGAGGCGGTGAGGGCGCTCAAGCAGATGACGCTGTAGAAACATCGCGCAACGAACAATGATGATGCGATAGCAGAGAGTCGCAAGTAGTGAAGAGCGTGTGCAAAAGCAAGCATGCCATTCGAGCAGCCCTCCGAGACAGAGCGCCGATCAGAGAGAGAGAACAAACAGAGACCCGATTGCCCCATTCTTTCCTCCCCCTCCCTTCCTTCTCTTCCCCCCTCCCTTCCTTCTCTTCCCCCCTCCCTTCCTTCTCTTCCCCCCTCCCTTCCTTCTCTTCCCC